ATATAGGCGTGTTAAAGTGGGTCTGACTCCTTCCTAGGGCCTCTCTAGACCATTCAGTGTTCAAAAGAAACTTGTCAGTTCTGCAAAACATTACAATTATTGAATTTTTAATCCAACTGTTTTTCATAAAAAAATAATAACTGTTAAAATATATAAAATCTTAATTTTTTATTTTTAATAATTAAAATTTATTTATATTTATTAGAAATAAATATTTTTATTTAAAAATTATAATAAATTTCAACTATTAAATTTCAACCATTAAAAGTTAAAAGATCAATAATTAAGATTTTATGTAGATATAATTTATAAAATTTATGTATAAATAGATTTATATTCATTTAATATTATAATGCTATTCATTTATAAAATAAAGTTTATTTAACTTGTATCGTTAGATTAAGGTTAAATTCATTATTTAAGATATTTTTAATTAATTTTACATAAATTTTTATATTAAATTCATTTTTTTTATAAAATTTAAATATAAATATTATATCATATTATATTATATTATATATTTTATTTAAATCTTATATGAAATTTTGTGTATCATTAATTATAAATAATACCATTAATAAGACTTAATCTGTATCCTATGACTACACGTTAAAAAATTCCTATGAAATAATATTATTTCAATCATTGAATTTGTAAAATCAACTAATAACAAGTAATAATTTGTATTCAAAACACATGATGATAGTTTAGTTAGTAAAGGGGTTACCCACCTCGCCACTTTATTAATAATGATTTGATCATCTAGAGAGGTTGTAATTAAGAAGATATCTTTCATAAATCCTTTAATTTGAGCTTTTATTACATCAATGGTAAACTCACTCCAATATATATGCACAAACTGTCCTATAAAATACTAATTACTACCAAAAGAAAACAATTCTTTTCATTTGGAAAAAGGTTTTGAGCTAAAGAGTTTCAATGGTATAAACATGTCTCAATTGTTGAATCAATATTTCATTGAGGCATTTTAAGAAAATCTCTATTACAAATTACAAATTTCAACAAGGCCCAGAATCAAATCACAAAGGCCATACCTCCATTTCCACTTTTTTTTTTTTTTATTAATTATAAGCACATATAAAAGTTTCCAACCTTTCTTTCTCTTTAATATAAGATTTTTTTGTGCATATATAAGTTAGATTTATTTATATATAACTTTTATTCACATTATTTAAACAAAATTTTAATCATTAATATCTCCACTATGAATCTCAATAGATTTATTATAACTTTTAAAATTAAAAAAATATATATTTACCTTTTAAAATATGATAAAAGATAAATAAATTTTAACAATTCATAGTAGATAGACAATTAGTTAAGATTTCATGCAAGTGGTATGTAAAAAAATTAAATATAAGTGACATAAACTTATGTGTAAATGATCTTATTTATATACAATTTTTATACAAATCACTTATATAAAATTTTAATTATTTA